AAGTCAAACACAGGAGGTCTGAATGCCACAATAGCTACTGGCATAACCCCGCTGAGGTGCTGGGAAATCTCCACCTTTTCTATCTCACATGTAGAGTTTGGAGTAGTTCCCTCCAGAATGCAGTTGCAGCAAGGGACAGGGGAGGCACTTGGGTGAAAGACAAATGCAAAGGGCCTAACCCAAACCTGAACGCTGTCCCCCTTCCACTTCTCACTAGGGGTGATACTTCTCTGTACTATGTTTTTTTCTGAACCTGAGCACAAATTGGCAGGTGTGTCATCCAAACTTGTGTTAAAAATCCAGTCACACATGGTAAGTTAAACAGTGGGTCTATACAATTCCTAACAAATAGCTTGACATTTGTTTACCAGTACTTATTAATTGGAAGCATTTAAAAATACCTCAGGTCAAACCATGTGCCCTAAGAGTCCTGTCGTTAAATAACCAGTTACTAATCCTAAGGAGTTACCTCCTGAAGGAGGAGGTTTTTTTGTTCCCATCAAACACATGTCCCTGAGTCTGATGTGGTGAAAATGCCTGCTGTGACATTCTGCTGACAAAATTGAAGAGGAACAAGAGTAAGACAGTCTGTACTCCTGACTGCTTTCTTCTGATAACTGTATTGACCTTGGATTGACGATTCATGAGCAGCCTTGCACCATGCTGCCCATCTAATCTAGCTGGATATCACTGCCCTAGACATCACCTGCAGTCACAGTCAACACGTGCTGCATGAAGCACTGCTCTATCACCCTGAATTTAGCTGTGAGCTGGGATATTCTTGTGTTACACAGAGATGTAGCGTGAACTGCGGTCTAACAAGAAAATGTGGTACTGTTACAGTACAGGGCTCTCTCCTTCAGGTCCTTCCCGTAGAGGTTGTACTTCATTGCTATGTAATTGGCAATGGCTTTGGTCTGCACCATCTTCATGCCATCAATCTCCACCATTGGCACTTGCTGAAAGAGCAGGGATCCATCTAGGGAAAAGGAGATAAAACAAGGAGATGCTCAGTCTCTGAATGAAGAACCATTAGGGGGTGTCAGGCAAAGTTACGCACATATTATCTTTTATTTAGAATCATTGAATCATTTAGGCTGGAAAAGACCCTTAAGATCGAGTCCAACTGTAAACCTAACACCGCCAAACTCCACAACTAAACCATGTCCCCAGGTGCCACATTTACACACGGTGACTCAACCACTTCCCTGGCAAGCCTGTTCCCATACTTGACAATTCTTTTGGTGGCAATCTTCCCTATTCCTATAAGAAGGTATGGAAAATGCTTACCATGAAGAAACCATTTCTTAGCGACATGTTACTAACTTCATATTACAACAATCAACTTCTTGAAGATTCTTCAGATTTGAGCAAGCACCCAAATGCAGAACTTTTACCTTTCATGCACTGAAAAAGACATGTGAGGCATGGCCCTAACTCAGATGATTTTCATGGAGATTAATACAGATGAGAAGGACTGAAGGAGGTGATCCAGCAGTTTCTGTCATGTGTTGGTAAGTATTATGAAAACCTGGACAATTTAAGGACTTTTCAGCATATAATGCAAATATAAAAGCGTACAATATCTTTGTCACTTCTATGCTGACTTTGCACAACGGCATCTCATCTGTACAGGCATGAAGTGGGGAATCACGGGGGAGTTCCATGAGATTCCTGCAAGACCCAAGTATCACTTGATGTGAGTCTGCAGAAGCCTTGACCTAGCAAGGAAGAAGTAAAAATACCTCTGGAAAGAGATCACCAGATCAGAGGAACGAGTGAGAATTTTTGCTTTATGGAATCCTATTTCAGATCAGATAACTGATCAGCTATGTCTGTCTTTGCATCCACTGTAAGGCAATCATGCAGAGAAACTCTCTGCTATTCAGGGCATATTTACATTTATGCTTATGTCATCTGAACTTAAAGAAAGGCTCTTTCACTGTGGGAAGTTACTGTGCATTGGCATAGGTTGCCCAGAGAGCCTCCATCCTTGGAGATACTTAGAACTCAGCCGGACATGGACCTGGGCAAATGGCTTGCAGGTGGTGTTGCTTGAAGAGGGGAGGTGAAATAGATGATCTCAAGAGGTGCCTTCTGACCTCAGTCCTTCTGTGATTCAGTGAAGATTGAAGCAACTGGGTGGATGAGGCCACCTAACACACTGCAGTGTGCGTCTGGGCTACCTCATGCATAATCAAGTCTAGATTTTCTTTTTAAGAGACTAAGACTTCTTAGGTGTTCTCAGACAAATTATTTTTATTATTATTATTATTACTATGGTTGTTGTTATCATTATCATTGTTAGTGTTATTATTAAATAGTGAAGGTATCTTACCCTTCTGTAGCTTTGTCAGATCATCCTTTTTTTCCAGAAAACATTCTTCAAACTGCAAGAAATAGAGAAGAAAAGTTAGGCTGTTGTTCCATGGTTTAGCTTCTTCTTCATTTAGACAATGAAGGCACAAAGAGCTGTGTTTGGGGCATTTTATTTTTTAAAAAATAAATAATATTTGAAAGCTTTCTGGTGCATTGGCCATCTCCATGACAAAAACTCATAGCTCACAAAAACTCACAGATCCCCACACTCCTCTCTGCTTCAATATCAGAAAGTCTTAGTGGCAAAAAAGAAAACTTTGATTTACAATAGAAAGTACCTTCTGGGGTAAGCTACGTTGTAGTAGTAGCAAAATTAGTCTTTTGCTATTTTGAACATTGAAATTTAACTGAAGGTCTTCAGAATTGGAAGTGCTCAACCTCTGGGATCAGAAGGTAAGAAGCCAGGTTCTGCTGCTGTGGTTTTAATTTTTTCTTTCACTAGCTACAGGGGATAGGCATTTGTGGTGCTACCAGTAGGCCTGGCGCAAGACGTGTGGAAGTGAGACGGGAACTTGCCCCTGCTTAGGGTAAGCACATGGTCGCTGTTGGCTTGGTCAGCAATGCACTAAATTCAGACCTTGAAGCTGCAGGTCAGTCAGTCACATTTTTCATAGGGAACATTAAAAGTACATATTTGTCACATGCTCTTAGTATAAGAAAACAGAGACAAACCTCAACCCCGGCTGCTGCCAGCAGCCACCGGATTGGTTCCATTCGGCCTCGTCCATTGAAGTAGTGCAGCTTGGGTTTCCCAGACATGTTTCCACGTGCCTGATAGTTTCTTCCTATTTGGAATAAAAAAATAAGTTTTGCAAAATAAAGATTCAGAATGCTGGTTTTGAGTCTCTCATTGGCTCCCAAGGTGTCCTGTTTGAAACCAATGATTTATGGTTCAAGACTTTGGACTTACGAAAGGAGGTAGAAGTTAAAGTACATTGAGACTGCATTGTATCATCTTGCCTTAAAAATGTCTTTTACACCTGCAGGTTAGTTACACAGAACTCTGTACTAAGAGCCAGTGCCCCACATCAGAGAACCAGCAAACCAAAACCATTTGCATCCCAAGTGTTCTGCTCTGACCAAAAAGCAGACTGTGCTTTCTGTTTATTTTGGCATTATCTCAGCATACAGTTTACTGTTTAATCAGGTACACAATATTAACTCAGCAATTGCTGTGCTTTCACCAGCAGCCATTATGCTCCATTATAAACAGGAAGGAATATTTTTCCCTCTTGTAAGCCTTCGATCTCTTTTACAACACTCCCTGCTCCAGTAATTTCTTTAGACAAGCCTCCAAAGATATGGAATTTAATTTTGTCTCTGGTAACATCAGATCTGCCTTTAACACAAGCAGAGCCAAAGAGCAATGCGTGTTTGATCCAATTCCAACTTTGCTGGAATATAAAGCAGCAACAGTTTCTAGGCAGATCAACATCCGCCCCATTCAGAACCACGTGAGCACAGCAGCAGCAAACATGCAGACAGCGCCTGGTTTATACCACTCTCACAGTTACTAACACCGTCTCGACAATAAAGCTAAAGCATTCACAGCAGCAAAGGGGAAATGGCTAAAAACCCACCATCTTCCCCTTTTAAATAACATATCAGCTTCTCTACAATAGGAAGAAGGAGATGAGAGGAAATACTCCATACTTCTGAGATCTACATTTCTTTTTCTTAATTCTGTACACCTAGGAAGTAGCTGACTAATATTTTAACGTTTCATGCATATAAACTTCACGTTAGTAAAGAAAGTACAAACA